TACAATATACAAGGCTTTATATAGCCTCTGAAACTATTAAATTAACATTCATACTTAATTAATGTCCATAATTAGTCATTATGTAATTGTAACTTAAAGTAAATAAAAAGTCTTAAAATACAATAACTCTAAATTATTCTAAATTGTAATCCACCCGAAATTTATAACATGAAACTTCATTCTTCTTCAAGGTGTCGTGAATTGAAATATCTTTTGATAATTTCAATAATATTTTATTCCCATCTTCATTGAAATATGTTGTATAATTGATATCTCTTGGTTCATATAATCCTACGTAACACATGACCACATTCCTTACTTTTGTTGAATTGTTTCTAAATTTAAATTATTCTTGTAAACTAATACAAGTTTTTTTTAGCGTATTTTATTAATTTTTTTAAAACTAATTAATATAGATTAACTATAAATTAAACCGAATTAATTTAAAATATTTTTTTAACTATTCATCGAGATGCATCCATATCACGAGCGCAGTAAAACGACAAATAATGTGATATTTCTTTGTCGATCGAGTATTTGACCGTCATAATCTCTCTTTTGATTGTTCTTGTTCACCACTCACTCGAGATTCGATCAATTTCTTCCTCACTGTTAGGTTTTTTGTAGTCACTCATGTCCGTTGTTAGAAAGGAAAACATAGGAGTTGTGCATGTGAGGGTTTCGACTAGTTCGATTTGATCCAATCGACTATGTTCAGTTCAGTTGGATTAATCTGATTTAATTAACATGTAAAAATTTAAATTTCTAATATTTTAATTAATTAATTCATTAAAAGATTGATCTTGGTAAAAACAAAAAACAATAATAAAATAAAATGGACTAATTAAAAATGAAAAAGGAATTTAAATTAAAAAAAAAAGAATAAATAAGACAAAGGGCATTTTGGGAATTATGATTTGTTGAAAGAGTTTAGCAAGGTTCATACACACCATAATTTTGCTGTGGCTCTCTGCCAAGCTTTGTGTATCTGATACTCCAATTATATATTTTTTTTATTAAAATAAAAATATTAAAAGAATCTTTATTTTTTATTTATTAAAATCAATCATTATCTGATTTTTAATGTTTTTTTTTCTTACAAGTAAATGTCCCATTTGCCCACAAAATCTGCCCCCACCTGATTTTCTGATGTGCCCACTCCACGTTTCTCAGATGCCATTATTAAATTATATATATATATATATATATATATATATATATATATATAATTACATTTTTTAATCTTTTACTTTTTGTTTTTTGAAATTTAAATTCATAAATATTATTCCTAAGTTAATAACTTCAATTTTTAAAAGTAAAAAAATATTTTTAAAAGACTTTGATAGAAAATCAATTATTATATATATATTGTTTACTTTACTTATTGTCGAAGTAAGTTGACTGGAAATTTAGTCAATTTTTAAATAAGAAAATCTGAAAAAACGGTCAATTTGATAGTTTTTAACATCTTTGAATATTAAAAAATTGTCAATTTGGAGTTCAATGTCTTTATTGACACACTATCTCGTGTCTACCCTTTTGAGGAAGGCGAGAACTTTCCTTTCTCCAATCGATGTGGGACCCCCTCCAAATCCACCATTCTTTGAGGCTCAATATTTTTACTAGCAAACCGTCTCGTGTCTACCCCTTTCAGAGAAGAGTGAGAAGGCTGACACATCGTCTAGTGTATGACTATGATACCATTTGTAACGACCCGCAAGTAGATATTGTCCTCTTTGGGCTTCCCATGAATGCTTTAAAACGTGTTTGTTAGGGGAAGGTTTCCATATCATTAGGATGTTTTGTTCTCCTCTCAACCAATCCGAGACTCACATTTTCAAAGTAGATTTAAAAATATTTAGAAATAATTTATGAAGTGTTGATAAATGATATTCGTTTATATATTGACAGTAATAACTCTTTTATGGCTAAAGACTCTAAATAGAATAAAAATAATTATATTTCCTTAATAACCTTTTGTTTTTAATAAAAAATATTATAATTCAAAATTATCTTATCATTTTATACAATTTAAAAATCCCAAACCTGTTTTTTTTCAAGATTATCCAAACGAACATCTATTTATGTTTGATTATTAATTACATTTATTAAATTAAAAAATTGCATTAAATACAAATTTTCTTGCAAACCTTTTGATAATTTATTAAAAAATTTATTAGTTATATATTATCGGCCATCAAAATAAAGAAATATATATTAAGCAAAAAAAATGATCTTTTTCACATGGAACTTTCAAAATTAATGAAGCGGGACCCACAAAAAATGCCCTTTCCACATCATATTCACATGGATGTATGGATGTATGGATGGATGATGTGCACCGCTACTAACATCATCCATGCATCTTATGAGTGATTCGCCAGATGGCCACGTAATCACTGGCAGGCAGGAATGGAGTACGACAATTACAGGCCAACAACCCACGTGGCATGTCACTATCGGTCAATAAATTTCCTCTTCCGAAGAAAAATAAAAATAATATATGGGTCCCACCATTTTTTTAAATTTTTTTATAGTTAAGTCTGTAATTTTTTAATGATTTTAAAAGTATATATTTTTTTAATTATTTATTTAATGTTATCTAAGAATTGGATTGAATTAGAAGACGCCAGCTGTAGATATTGGTTTTGACTTTTGTTGATTGTGAATTAATTTTATAATATTATCATAATTTCATCCTTTTTATTAAAAAAAGAAAAAAATTGTGATAACGTTGAATAAAACATGTTAGATTTATTAAAAATGGGCCAAGCAAGCTTTAGGCCCAATTGAATAGGCAATACTATTGGAGTGTGTAGCCTATACCATACGAGTTTGAGTTGGGTTGAAATTTTAGAAAATTGAAAATTTGTGTTGATTTGCGGGTTGACATTTTTTTAGTCGGGTCAACCTGACCAACCCAAAATAGAGTTACAACTCAACTTTAACTTCTCTTACTTTTAAGATTATTATGAAGATTAAGAATATTCTACGTTTGTAGTCAATATTAGTAATGCGTTGTGACTTGTGAATGTTTGATATCTGAGATTTTAGTTATTGATGTAACATGTATGGTTATAAAGAATGTTTTTTTTTTTTAATTCAATGAAGTACAGATACCAAACTCACTACTACCTGATATTGTCACATGATAGAGGGAGGTTTTCCCTCTCCTCTTCCCCAGTAGATATGGAATCTCATAATCCACCTCTATGAATACACTGTCCTTGGGACATCACTCGATGTTTGGCTCTGATATTATTTATAAACCCCCCAAATCATGTCGGAGAAAACTTTCCATCGTCAAATCTCATAATAAGTTCTATGCTATCTATACTTTCAAACTCTCTCTCTCTCTCTCTCTTTTATGTGTGTGATAGTGGGCTTGAGCTGTTACAGATAATATTAGAATTAGACATCAAGCGGTGTGCTAACGAGGACGCTCATCTCCAAGAGGGGTGGATCGTGAAATCCCACATTGGTTGAAGAGGAGAATGTGAAAATCTCTCGATGCTAGATGCGTTTTAAATAATAATATTGTCACAAAAACTAAACACAATTTAAGCTCACTACTAGTAAATAATATTGTCTGTCTTGGCTCGTCAATCCTATAGTTTTAAGACACGCTTTATAAAAAATGCTTCGTTTTCCTTCATCGAGGTGGGATCTCACACCCTCTCTTATTTCTCTCCCAATACTCGTCTGTTTAAACCTTTAACTTTAAGAAAAGTAATAACAGGTCAAGCAAGCGAGCTTTCCTCGGCTCGAGGTTTGAAGGGTTAGTTTTTGTGGTTTGGTTCAAGGTGGGGTTAGGTTAAAAGAGTGTCTCCTTTCTCCTTCGGTGTTTTTGACCAATTTGGTTTCATTATGTGGAAATGAAGGAGAAAGGAGCAGACCTTCACTTTTTGACCTAAAACCAGACAGTGTTACCTTAAAAACTTCGGCAGCCATTGGAGAAGGTGGTCTGCTTAGCTTAGCTTAGCTTAGCTTGTTCTAAGATTTTTTTATGTTGAGTTCGAGAATAATAAGGTTGTTTGTGATTTCATGTCTCAATTCTCATCCTAAGTTGTTCTAAATAAATAATATTTCTTTTTCAATGTTAAATATTGTATTTCTCTCTCTTCATCAATTAAAAACATTCCCTACCTAATCTTTACTAGTCTATTTTTTAATTTTGCAAACTACTTTAAATTAATAAAAATACCTTTTAATTTTCTAATTTATCTAAGAAGTAATTTTCACCGACTTATTATAATTAAATATAAATTTTTATAGTCTCGAGATGATATTCCAACCTCCCATAACTTGGTTATTCCCAAACGAGTGATCAAATGATATGTAATTGAAGAATGTGTTAAAAGAGTCTTTTTCTAACCCGTTCAATGGAGTCTTTTTTAGATTTTTTTTTTTTTTTCGCAATATCCCTCCATCTTTGGCTCGAGCTATATAATGCAGCGTGAGATCTCACATCGTTTGAAGAGGGGAGCGAAACATTCCTTTAAAAACGAACAATAGCTCTCTCTAACAATGGGTTTTAAAACCATGAAGCGGACAATGATACGTAATAGATCAAAACGGACAATATCTACTAGTGGTGGATTTAGTCTATTATAAATGATATCAAAATTAGAGATGAGGCGTTGTGTAAGTGAGGACGTTGGCCTCCTAAGGGGGTGGGTTTTGAGATCCCACATCAATTGGAGAGGAGAATGTTTGGAAACTTTTCTCTAGCAAACGAGCTTTTTAACTGTGAGGCTGAGGTGGACTGTTACATGGAGAAACTCGTCTTGAGACTTAATTGATGACGAGACCAAAGGCAAAAAGCAGGCTGACACGGTGAGCTGTTACATATAGAAATTCGTCTCGAGATTGAATTGATGACCGAGATTGGAGAGTAGTGCACTAGTTGAGAAGTTGAATAGAAGCATGAGCAAATTGATGATGGATAAATGAATTATTTGAAGTACCTATAAATTAGGAACCAAACATAAGAAATCAACGAAGAGTAAGAGACGTGTATGTTTTTGGGTCACGCAAATAACCGATCCTTTCCCATCGGATTTGCAGCAGTTCGTAGCTTTCCATTTCGAGCCCAATCCGAATGCTTTGCCACCACGTTCTTCCCCGCCATTTCCTTCTCTCTCAGCTCCCAACATGCCAATCTTTGCTGCTACAACGCTCGGATCTCTATCTGCTCATTCATTTCTTTCGCTCTTAGCCTCCACTGATGCTTCTCACTCCCTTTCAAGCTCCTTCGTTTTAACCCATAAATCCCCCTCTAAACGCCCTTCCAATTTCGCCGCCAGAGTTTCCCTTTCCGGAAAACCGGAGCCCATTGCCGGAGTTCTGGAAAGTTCGCCGTCATCGCCGGAGTCAGTTCGACGTGCTCGGGTGAGTACATTGTTCATCCCTTCTGTCTTTTAATCGAACAACTGGGGTTTTCTTTTATATCCGATTTTCTCTTTAAATGAATCACTCTGGAAGTAACAAGTTTGCTGAATTCGAATTCGAATTCTGGTTCCAAGCGCTGAAGGTTTTGAACAATTCATTAGAAGTGTATGTGTGAAGCTTTTGGCACTCAATTCCGTCAAGATTTTGAGATTAGGTTTTGATTTTCACCGCCAGATATTCTGTTTCCATTCAACTATTTCACTTGGGGCATTGAATTGCAACATTAGAGTTTTGTTGTTCAACCATGCAATATCAAGGCCTAAAGATGATGCCATGGGTTCAAAAGGATCATCATTTAGCCATCATGATTGGATGGTTGTTGGTGGGAGCAAAAAGTTTATGCTTAGCCTGAATTTGTATGAGTATTGTTGAACTCTTATATTCTAATACTTGGTTTCTGCAAAGAAGTAGAGATCTGCTGATTGGAAGACAGCGAGGGAATACCTTGATAGTGGATTTATCTTCAAAGGTAGGATTGAAGGTTCGAATGCTGGAGGTTTACTCGTCCGATTCTATTCTCTTGTGGGGTTTCTTCCATTCCCTCTATTGAGCCCGGCTCATTCTTGTAAAGGTACAAGTTTTCTTAATCCTTTGTGCTATATGCTATTAGACGAAGTCAGTAGTTTACCCAATAATGACTTGAATTGGTTGAGGTATATGTGTTTCAAGTTTTTTAACATGAATTTCTTGCAGAACCATACAAGAGTATCCAAGATATTGCAAAAAGCTTAATTGGTTCACTTATACCAGTGAAGGTAGTTAACTACTAAAGTTGTCCTTAATTTTAATCGTTTATAGTTTTGAAAGCATCTCTTCTAGTTGGCTGAAGGCTGGTGTATTTCTATTTGCTTCGCCACTCCCTAGTGTCCAACATGAGCACACTAGGTCATGTGTCAAACGTGTGTCCAACTCACCAAAATAAAATTCAGTTTTTATATCTTTAACTTTTCTTTTGAAACTCAGACATTTAGTACTTTCAATTAGCCACGTGTTCACAGAATCTGAGACGGATATGAGGGGTATATCTTTGTTCAAGGGGAGGAGACTAAGGGCGCGATAGTCCTGACACCATGTACCCCACAATGTAATTTAGGCTTGTGCTTTGTCTAGGTTGTTGCCTTGGGGATGTCAAGAACAAACTCTTGTAGTCAATTGAGACGATTGAGAGTGGATGGATGAGTGTAGGTGTAAGTGGTACTTTGCTCAAGGAGAGAATGGTTAGGAGTGCAAACAAAGTCTCACATCGACCAGACAAGGGAGAGATCCATGCTTTATAAGTGAGAACAATTATTTCTATTGGTATGAGGCCTTTTAGGTGAATCAAAAGCAAAACCACGAGGCCTTAAACCAAAAGTCGATAATATCGTACCATTGTGGAAATATGTGGAGGGTCGATTGTCCATAACAGAATTTTCATTTTTTTATGGCACCAAAGACTTCCTTGTATTGAATCTTTCTTTTTATTTTCTTTTTCCGTGTTCTTCAGCTTTAGCTGGGACAGATGCTTCTTTGGCTCCTGTAACTACTAGAGAATGATCAGTCTCCCCTCCGGTTGAAATTTCTTGCTCACTGGCTCTTATATTCTTCCTTTCCTCTGTCAAATATTTTCCTGAAGTTCCTCAAATCATTTCCCAAACTATGCACCAACGTCTCTTTTGAAATTGAACTATGGGATGGTGCCCTTGCTTCTTCTGTTCTAAATCTAATGAATTAAAACTCAACTGATCCAATTTAGGTCCAAATTTTTTTATTTGAAGCATAATTGGTCAATGAAGAAAGTAAAACACTTGGATCATGTGGCTACACCATATTACATGTATTCATAAAGTGAAACAGAGAAAGTTGTAATGTAATTGTTTATGAGGGAAATGAAAGAAAAAAATTAGGAGTCTATTCCATTTGGGCGAGATAGTTCTTTCATCATTCATATTCACAGTTGACCATCCCTGCTTTTGAAATATTTAGGTGAGGATACATTAAACCCTGTCTTTTCTTATTTTCTAGGTTATCCAAGCAGATGAGAAAAACAAGAATTTGATCTTTTCAGAGAAGGAAGCTGCATGGTCAAAGTTTTCTGAGCAAGTTGGTGTGGGAGATGTCTATGAAGCTAGAGTTGGCTCTGTGGAGGATTATGGTGCCTTTGTACATTTACGTTTCTCTGATGGTGATATTTTGTGTTCTATTAAGCTTATGTACTGATATCTTAAGAAATCAATTACCACTTATTTTCCAAAATTCTACAGGTTTCTATCATCTTACTGGGCTAGTACATATATCAGAAGTTTCATGGGATCTAGTTCAGGATGTAAGAGACATCTTAAGCGAGGGTGACGAAGTGAGGGTGAAAGTCCTTGATGTTGATAGGCAAGTCTTGTCAGATTTCTTTTTATCACCAGCTAATTTGCACCTTCTAGGAAATTCTGTCATTTGAAGTATTTTTATCCACTATAAAACATATACAAGGCTCTCTTGATTACAAATAATTGTTATATAGTGTTGTAATGAAGTGCAAATTATGAGCTCAATCATATTCAGCGCAAGCTTGTTAGCTAGCTAGTTACAGCCGTTATTGTTTGTAATCAGTGCTGTAACTAGAGATGGATATAGTTATTGTACCAAACTTACTTGTGAGAACCCACATCGGTTGGAGAGGGGAACAAAACATTCTTTATAAGGCCGTGGAAACCTCTCCTTAGCAGACACGTATTAAAAACCTTGAGAGGAAGCTCGAAAGGAAAAGCCCAAAGAGTATAATATTTGCTAGCAGTGGGCTTAGGCTGTTACAAATGGTATTAGAGTCAGACACCGGACGGTGTGTCAGAGAGGACGCTGAGCCTAGAAGGGGGGTGGACACTAGGCTCCGAAGGGGGTGGATTGTGAGATCCCACATCGGTTGGAGAGGGGAACGAAACATTATTTATAAGGGTGTGGAAACTTCTCCTAGTAGACGCATATTAGAAACCTTGAGGGAAAGCCCGAAAAGGAAAGCCCAAAAAGGACAATATTTGCTAGTGGTGGGCTTGGATTGTTACATTATCGATGAAACATGAAATATAGACTCGTTCTTTGGTGGATGTAGACCAATTATTGGGTCGAACCACTTAAAAATCTTGTGAGTTCCTCTGCTGTTTCTTTCCCTCTTAATCTTTGTAATTGTTTTGATTCTGGTTAAAACTCAGATTAGCCATAGGCGATAGATGATTTTGTTATTTTTGCAGAAGGTCAAGAAATGGAAAACGAGGAAAATGTGATAGACTTGCTAAATTTATATCATCTCAAGCTTTTAGGCCATTGCCTATTGCCATGCATTGTCAGCTGTCTTATTGGTTTTATGCAGGGACAAGTCGAGGATCACATTATCAATTAAACAACTCGAGGAAGATCCACTTTTGGAAACATTGGACAAAGTAATACCGCAGGTTAGTGAAGCATTGATGTACGCATTTAGTCAGCCTTTTCAACTACTTTCATCTCATAACTGAGCTTTAACTACATGAACACCATAATTTATTATAACAGGATGATTCTGCTGAACCTGATTCGTTCGGACCTAAAAGTGACAGCGAAATCATACCCCTTCCTGGACTTGATACAATATTTGAAGAGCTACTGCAAGAAGAAGGGTATGTTTCTCTAATCTTCAAAGCTATGGAGAGCACTGTCTAGAAAGATTACTGATAACAACAATGTATGGGCATCAACAGTACTAATAAATATGCCTTGGCTTGTTCTGAATTTTTGAGTTTAACTTTTGTGTTAGACAGACAATGTGATGTACATACAAATATTTATATACATTCATACACATACGTTTAGGGTTCAAATATGAGATGAATTGGCTGACACTGAACAAACTAAAGAGGCCTTGTCTGGGACCCCTGCATTTTTTTCACTCGATTGATAAACTTTGTTCGGTTTTTGGTCATTAGTAGGGATCATATTATCAGCATGTGACTTCTCAAGTTATATTAACCTTGAGTTAGCAGTATGATCTTAATATGATTAGTTTGAATATCAGTATAGAAGATGTTCATATCAACCGACAAGGATTCGAGAAACGGGTGGTTTCACAAGACCTACAGCTTTGGCTATCAAATGTAAGTTGGTTTGTTACTAAGAATATTATGTGGGGTATAGTCATTGGCTTCAATTTCTCAATTGTCATCTTACTGTTATTGTAGGCACCTCCTGTTGAAAAGAAGTTCACTCTCCTTGCTCGTGCCGGGAGGCAGGTAGTGTTTCTCCTTCTCACACATGCACAAGCATGAGCACATGCACACAGATACCAACTATAACCGGTCCAAGCTCACCACTCGTAGATATTGTCCTCTTTGAGCTTCCCATTTCGGAATTTTCCTTAAGGTTTTTAAATCGCGTCGGTTAGAGGGAGATTTCCATGCCCTTATAAATAATGCTGTATTTCCCTTTTAAACCGATGTGGGATCTCACAATTCACTCCCCTCGGGACCCAGTGTCCTTGCTATTTCACAGCTTAGTGTCTGGTTATGATACCATTTGTAACGGTTCAAACTTACCGCTAGCAGATATTGTCTTCTTTGGGCTTTATCTTTCGTGCTTTTTCTAAAAAATTTCAAAACGCATCTACTTGGGAGAGATTTCTACACCCTTATAATGAATACTTTGTTCACCTCCCCAACCAATATAGGATCTCACACTAACATCAATGGTTTGTGAATTTAGGTTCAAGAAATACAACTGACAACATCACTCGATCAGGAAGGTATTAAAAGGGCATTGCAGCGAGTGTTGGAACGTGTCCCATGATTTGGAGACAGAGTTGAACAATCGATTTTGAATGAAGCTGTCTGTAAAGAAGATGATATCAATTCAATTGTTTCAAGTAAGTTGTATATCTTGCCTGGTCTCTACGTCTATTCTAATGGTAAAAGGTTCTTGTAAGAAGCATGAATGCTCGATCATTGTCTGACAGCCTTCATCTTGGAGGATTTGTAGTCTTTGCTTCTCATAGCCAAAATATATATATATATATATATATATATATATTGTATATGTATATTTCCTTTTTCTTATTTCATAATCATTTCTGCTGAGAGATATAAGACTCTGTCTAACTTGACTTGACCCATAGATCAAGTTTTCCCCGTTAAATGGACATCTCTAAACTTAATCATGTGATATTAGTTATCATGAAACTTTTGTCATTCTAGTACAATTCGATGCCATGTTCTCTTCTCGTTAGTGTTGAATAGTGTTTGGTCACTTCACCAATTAGATAAATATAATGTCTTCTTCAATGACAACTTAGAAGAAGTTTATATAGGTATACCTACCGATATGGAATCCACAAAAGAATTACGAGCAAATTGCACAAACTCTAAAAAATATTCTTCAGGGCTTGAAACGAAATCCAGGATTTTTGTTTGAAAAGTATTCAATGTGGATGCTTATAAGAAACCTAAAATTAGTCTCGACTAAAAAGATGGAAGATCTCGACTACTTCCTAACAATGGAAATGACTCACTCGCTGAAAGGTTTGTGTATTTCTATCCGTAAATATGTGATTTGTTATTTGGAGGAAACAAGTATGCTCGAGTTTAAGTTTTTAATGATGTAGAGTATGAAAAATTGACTACAACGTAGACATTGTCTATTTGAGTTTTTCCTTAAAGTTTTTGTTAAGGAGAGGTTTCCACACTCTTATACCCATGTGAAATCTCACAATCCACTCTCTCTCGGATCCCAGCATCTTTGCTAGCACATCGTCTTGTGTCCACCCTTTTTAGGGCTCAGCCTCCTCACAGGCACATCACCCAGTGTTTGATTATGATAGCATTTATACGGCCCAAATCCGCTACTAGCATATATTATCCTGTTTGAAATTTTCCTTTCAGATTTTTCATCAAGGTTTTTAAAACGCATTTACTAGGGAGAGGTTTCCACACTGTTATAAAAAATGTTTCGTTATCCTCCCCAACTGATGTGAGATCTCAAAGATAGTGTTGATCATGAAACTTTCAAAGCATAGAAATTAAACCTTAAACCTTAATACATTCGAAAATTGTAGTGACTCTTTATTAGCAAGGGCCCTGTACGTTTGAGGCACGTGACACATTTAGAGTCAACTCCTATATGTATGCTTTATTAGAGTAAAAGGTTTTAGGTCCTTTCAATAGGACCACAATTTCATTTATGTTATGTGTGTGTATATATATATATAATATATATATATATATATCTTTTAAATTCTCGTTTTTAAGTATAGTTTATAAATAAAAAAATCACATTTATTGTACTAAACTAAAAAAAATATTAATTATAAGTTTATTCAATAATTTTATGTTTTATTTAATTTTAAAATTTTTATTTTAAAAAACTCACAAATCAAAAATCAAATTTCTTAATACTTAAGGATTAATTGACATTGAATAGCCCAATTTCATCACTAGCAGATATTGTCTGTTTTGACTCGTTAAATATCGCAAATGAAAACTATTCCTACAGACCAACACGACACTACCATTTTACTTTTATGATCGGTCTCATTTAAACGTGGTTGGGTAAAGGAAGACGATGATTAAAGGAATAAACAAATGCATAATAAATTATTAATGTAATAATGGGTTAGAGGAGGGCTTAAAATTCCCATGTTAATGTTGGGTATGAACCATAAGTAATCACTCATCCGTCTGCACGCGCAAACCCAACATCCTCTTCTAATTCTTTTTTATTCTCAACTTTTGCCTCTCCTCTTTCTTCTATTTAAATATTAGCCCCTCACAAATCTATTATTTATTTTATACCCCTCCTTCAACGAGTATTAACTTATCAAATATAATATAAACTTTTCCATGTAAATAATTTGATAACGACTAAGTTTGAGAGCTCCAACGACCTCGAATATAAATATTAATGTTTTATTAATTACAAAATTTAATTTTATGTCTAATAAAATTTTAATTGAAAGAATAAAAAAATAATAATAATAAAAAAACTTCGTCGACACGGGTTATTAAACATATGGAGAGTCGAGGGGGTTCGGGTTAGGGTTAGGGTTTAGGGTAGGAATGGTAGAAGCATGGGTTGGTATTTGGTTTGGTTGGAGTGGCAGATAGATAGGGTTTGGGTACTCAAAACTGAACCCTCAGACCGTATCCCTCTGCCAATCGGAATGTCTTCTCTTCCCCCACATTTCCCCCACCTCTTTTATTTTTTTAGTTTCCCCCTTCTTAAAAAAAAAAATTCATTTTTTTTAATTATAAATATTTTAAAAGTCCCATTGGTTTAAAAATTATTTAGAAAGGATCATAAATGCTAAATTAATAAAAATACTAAAATTTTCTAAAATCTAAAAAACAATTGGTCAGATAAAATAGAACCAAATGAAGAAAATAACATAATTGATACATTTAAATTTATACCAAAATTTTATAATTTTACTGAAATTCTGGATATTTTTGGGTATTTGGAAATCAAGGAATAAAAATGAAAATAAATGGAGTAAAAGCCCATGCATTATCAAACTGATAGCTCTGCACACATTATATTTCCCATTTATTTCCTACCTATTAATTTTTAAAAAATAAGGAAGTTTTTCAAATTTAATTTTAGAAATTTTAAAAACAATTTTGTTTTATTTTATCATGTTTGCATACCTCGAGATTTCTCTCAAAATAACAAAATATAGTATGGTTTTATTTTTCAACTGAAAAATATTATATTTATTTAAAAAATTATATAAAAGTTCTTCCTTTATCCATTTGATCTAAAATAATTTAAATCCATTAATAAAGTGTCTATAGATATTATATAATAATATTACAAACCTGGTTTTAGATTCTTCTTTACATTTGATTTTTTAGGGTGACCATATAAAGGAAATGAATAAAAATTAATTACATAAAAAAGAAAAAACCAAGCTTCATTATATATAACCCTGTTCCAGAATGACTTTAAAGATAGCAATTTGAGCAAAGTGATATTGGTTATTCCTTAATAACTCAAAATCAGAATAATTCTTTTTTATATAAAAAAAAAAATCAAATTAAAAATGACCAAAAGTCAGACCATGATGGGACCTAGTGGTCATCGGAGTTGGTGAAAAAAAAAAGGTCTTCGAAAAAATGGATTCGAGACAGTGACGGCCTATCTTGACATTAAAATTCCAGGAATTTTCTTGGTTGAGTTTTATGCAAGCTATCTTACTTAAGATAATGCACTGAAAATAGAGATAAAAGAAGAAGAAGAAGACACACCAAAAGCCATATTTTAATAAATGGCTTTATGATGCACTGAAATCATATTTTAAAACCACCCCAAAAAAGATCGGGGGACACCCAAAAGAAAAGAAGCATTTTTGAAATGACATGAACTCAGGCAAGAAACCACGCAAATCAACAAAGCCAGGAATCCGTGGGGGCGTATATGGGGACACCTAAAGGGTTATACTGCAATGGAAAGGGGTTAGCAAAAGACAAAATGTGTCGAAGTATATCATTAAATATACTCACAAAAGAAGAGCCCATGACACATGACAACAACGTTTAGAAGCTATCCAAGTTAAGTCATAAAGACAATATAAAATCATACCACCAAAGTTCAGAAGAGACACCATCACTGCTTCTCTGATGCCGCTGCTGCTGTCACTGTTTACTGGGGTCTTCTTTTCCATCGCTTTCATTGCAATCGGCTTCGCTGCTGCTGATTTGTGTGTGTTTTCTTGACGACCCTTTGCAAAGCTTGACTGGATATTTCTTGGCATTCAGCTCCAGCTTCCGTAGAGCTGCTTTACCAAGATCAATCCCACATATGTCAGCGAGCCTAACAAGGTACAGCAAAACGTCTGAGAGTTCTTCCCCAAGATGTTGTTTCTCTTCATCTTTCCAGCCAGGAAGGCCTCTTGGAACCTCCCCTTTCCACTGGAATATCTCAGACAACTCTCCCACTTCACCCACCTGAAGTATTCCAAACAGAAAGTAAAAGCCATGAGAAGAAGAAAACCCTGCTAGATAGATCTCTCCCCCTTGGCAGTCATCAAAGCTGGGCTATTCAACCACAAGATAAAACATACAAAACTAACAAAAAAAAAAAAAAAAAAAATCATTTATGGGCAATCCACTAAATAGAATGGGTATCATCATTCTCCGCCTACGTCCTAATTCACTTGGAACAGTTCACACAGTTCCAAACAGCAAACAAAACAGCTTTCACTGTTCCTAAAATTTGTACTTCATGAATGACAGAATGATTGCCAAGTAAAAATGAGATAAAATCTGGCCAGTCAAGTGAATAACCTACTCAGAACAGTCCTACCCCGCATAAAATTTCAAGCCTAACAGAAATTATTGTCCTGAAGTTTTTCCAAATCGCAACATAACTTCGGTGGAAGTAGTTCTTCCGCCATTAAAACTTCAGTAAAACCCTAAAGGAACGAGGAAGTATTGAAGCATTCATCGACGATCGAAAAATCCCTAATAGACATTATTAGCACAAAAACAATACGAAAAAGAGTAAGCAAAGAACGTCAATCGTCGGCAGACAGTTCAACCCTCCCATTTCACATCGGGAAAACGAACCGCAAAATTTTCATCAAATCGTTTCCGAGTAGCTTACACAAGCGGAAGAAGAAGGTGATATTCGTTTTCCACTTCGCATTGTAAACGCGTAAGAAAGTGCAGTTTTCGAAAGAACACTAATACAATACCATAGCGAGAAGGAGATTTCTAGGGCTATGAAACTGATCCCAGTCCCTCTCTCTAGCAAAGTCCGCCATCATAGTCTTCAACTCCTTGAGAGTCACCTCCCTCTCTACAACCTCCGCCATCGCCGGCCACTGACAGCCGACCGCGCTCACTTTTTCCTAACCGGAACACCGTACGCTGCAGCAGCAGAAGAAAAAACGGCCGCCGTTTACTTAGCGGACATGAAATTGCAGAGAAGCATTAATTAAAAGGAAATCGTTGGTTCTTATTCTCCTGGTGCCTTATTACTGCGATCACGGGAGGGAGGGAGAAGAGTAATGACCGGGTACAGGGAAATGCCGGTTGGTCTGACGCGATTTTCATGGCTACGGGACAGTCAGCTGTCGGTTTCTTATATTTTTGGCCTTGACACTGTGGCCCCTCTTGTTTTGTAATTTTGGGATTTTCAGGGACCACCTGTTTGGCTTGAAAAGTAAAAAAATAAATATATGGGGATTAATCTGCAAAAAGAATAATTGTAATTTTAAAATAAATATTTGGAGACAATAATAGTATTGGACCATAGGAATTATTTCGTAAATCTCGTACAGTGTAAGGGACCTGACTTCACTCCAGCTCCATCCTCTAGCCCATGTTCATTTTAAATTTATTTTTATTTTCATTTATTATAATATTTATTATTAATCGGCCACTCCCGTACTAATTCTAAATCTCAACGCGACCTTATTCATAGTAAAATTACGAGCGTTCAAATTGTTTGAATTAATTATTTTAAAATATATATGATAAATATGAGATCCTTATCATACGTGTTTTAAAATTGTGAGGTTAACATCGAGACATAACCGTCAAAATGGATGACAATACGTAAACCAACTAAAGTGGATAATATAGTAAAAATCTCAATTAAATATTTGAAAAAAATAAATATATTTAGTCTTTTTATTTTATAAAAATATTTGTTTATTTAATTCCCTAAATATTTAACTAATAATTATTCTTTTAAAATAGTTATAGTTTTTTTTTTTTTTTTTTTTATTAGAAGAATCGACCAAATTCATATAATATTTAATGAAGAAATTTGTGGCCAACTACAACAAGCTTGCGACTGTAATAGAAACAAACGACAAACTCTACAATTCTAATAGTCGAGTTGGGTATGTGTGCTTACCAATCTTGTCCCGAGTGCTGAAAGACGGCTCTCTCGCAAATTATGCGGAATTTTGTATTGATTAAACGTGAGGTTACAGGGCTAAGGTTCGTTGTTCAAATGATAAAATAGACTCGTATATTTATGCCTAAATAGTTAATGAATTTCTCTATTATGGGGTCTAGTTTGTCTTAGCATTGAATACAAATTTTAGTGGAGGCTTCATCAATGGTCCTATTTGTATCATATTAATAATTGACTCGAACATAATTTTATTGATCAACACGAAAATAATTAGAAAAAAAATATTAAATTTTTTTTACATTCATAGTTTTATTTATTATAGATTTTCATTTTTTTCATAGGCAAATTTTATGAATGTATTTACCGCCTAATTCTACCTTTAAAAATATTAAAAATATTTTAATATTTATAATCGATGTAAATGATGTGTTGCGACTTGTAACGTGGATAAATATAAATTTTAGGTTGGTTTGTGAATTTTATTCGAATTAAATAACTCAATTTTTTTTTCAATTTAATGTTATAATTAAAAATAAATTCATAAATTTTCAGAAATTGGGAACATTTAAGATCCCATCTTAAGAATGTTTATTAAATTATGAACCCAAACCAAATTAATGGGCAGGGTTAATTCAGTTTCATCGATTTTCTTATTTGTTATGAGATGAGAAAAATATATGTTTTTTGAAATATCAAGGAATCATGGATGTCGGGTGAGAGAGAAGTCGAGATTGGTTACTGGTTACTGTCGGAGGAGTTGTCGAGCGAAAGACAATAGTGAACGTTAATGTGATGGAGCAAGGTGAGGCGACAATGAGTGAGACGCTACTAAGCGTTAATGTGATATTGGATGGCGAAGAACCAGTTGAGCTTTCTTTTATGAATAAAAATGAGTTAGTTTGGTTCAACTCGAGATTTAAGGTTCTCTAACTCGAAAACCGAACCAATGACTGAAAAATCCATGGATTTTAGAATTTTTCTTTTTTCAAAATTGCTGTTGAGTTGTATGGGTCGTTCAAGACTCTTGGTCTCTACCTATGCGATGGAAAAAAATGGGATCACTTCTTATGGACTTACTGAGAATGATTCCGTATCTACGTTATGACCTATTCAGTTGCATAAGGCGCTCTAGTGAGATCCTTACAAAAAAAAAAAAAAAAAAAAAAAAAAAAAAAAAAAAAAAAAAAAAAAAAAAAAAAAAAAAAA